CTTTAAAAATTTCGTGTATACCATATTTTTACACACACTTGTAATATATATACATATAATCTCACATCGTTTGATAAATAAATTAATAAATGCACACCACTATATAAATAGATTACACACACACACACATTATAAAATTAGATAGTGTCGGGACTGTTTTCAAAGACATGTCCATTCACTGCTCTCATCAGAACTGTTGCAAAAACGTCAGAATGGCAATAGTTCCATAACAAAATCATGCCATGGCTGTGCGACTGGCGTTATATCCTGAAATGATTTCAAATTTTCACGGAGATATTTACATGCGGCCATTTGATCACTGAAGACACTGTAGCCCTGCTTTTGGGCGCATTGATACAAATTTTTCAAAATGTAATAAAAGTAACGTTTGATATCGGGAGACTGGGCCCAATTCGTCAACTCTGTCACCTTGGAAATGATAAGAGGCTTCATATTTTGCAAAGTAGACCATGTAGATGCACCCAACATGACATAATTATTTTTGTCTAACCCGAATTTAATAGCAGGATTACCTGAACTCAACACAATGCACTTCGCTTCACATCCCCCACACATCTTTGACATTTCACTTCCTTGTGAGGATTTTTCAAAAAAGTCATTCACGCGTTTCACCCACTCTGGTTCGTACACAAGCTCTTCAAAGACGGCGGTCGGTAAAAGAACGCCGAGTTGACATGAAGCATTCTCCAGAAACAAATGCACTTCAAACTGGTTGGTCACGTCCATCCCGACCGTTACCTTTTTACTCTTGGAGAAATTGAGGTTGTAAACTCGGCGTAAAATCAAGTTGCTGCTGGTACTTTTCTCCGGTGTTGGTATTCCGTGCAGAATCTGGCTGATGATTGTGTTGCCCACGTCCTGCATCTCGTTGCCGCTGCCGACTGAAATGAGGTTGGGAGCCATGGCAAAACCTAAAAAGATGAAAAATAAGAAATGTTTAGTTAAAAAAAAAAAAAAAACACAAAACACGCTGGGGTGCTCTGAACGGGGTATGGGGCTGGGGTGGGCGTACCGCGGAGAGCTGCGCGTGGTGCACTGGCGACAAGCGAAAGCAGAATGAATTCCGAACAGAAATGTGCGGGGTGCAACGAGGACGAGAGCGTGGGTGCGCATGCGCGTGGCCACGGGTGCCTTGCGTGGCATAAGGGGAAGGGGGGGGGGGGGAGGCTTTGTATCGGTTGGTGACTCACCCATATCTCAACCACGTCAGCATTTACAATCGCAATCGCATCGTCTGTTAGGAAAGTCAAAGTCGTCAACGTCTTCGTCATCTTTCCGATATTTACTGGGAATAGTCCATCTCCCGTTTAAACACCAGTGGTTAAATGTCTGCTGTTCCGGTGTGAGATCATTCTTGTGAAATATCACAAAAGCTTGATTTTGGTTGAACTCCCATTCACAGTGGTCCACAATTTTGGAGACCGGTGGAGGGTTATTTTCGTAATATCCTTCCGCCAAAAGATTCAGGTACTCCCACTCGCAATATTGGTGCTGGATAACGGTGTTTTTCCACTCGCCGTCGAGAACTTTACTAATGTCTCCAAGTACTTCTTGATTGCACAACTCAAATTCGTCATCAGGCCAACTATCTCCGGGAAATGTCATGACAATCTGAAACATATAACACGCATTTTAAATACATGCATATAAGTAATAAGAAAACATGTAATTAGTAATGCATTACGTACCATGTCCAAGAGTGGTGCAATCGGTTTGTCTGGGCATATCATCTTTGAAATAACCTCTGCCAATTTTTCACTTGTCTCTCGTCCGAATGGTGAGCACATTTCATGATACGTAGAGACTTCCGTATGATTTTCCCATGACCAATATTGCTCGGCCATCTTGCATTGGCTGCAACAAGAACCGTCATAACCGTATTCTAATGATTCTGGGTTTTGATGGGGATATATGCGGTTATTCCAAGTTTTCAATTCATCTTGTTCTTGCCCATATGCGTCTGCACTCCACAAGTACGGTGGTTTTTCAAAAGACAGGTTCATTGGGGTAGAAAACATGATGCACCGGAGATCGGGGAAGTACGCCTGGCCGGCGATCTTGTTGGTGAAATTGATCATCCACGGGCTGAAATACGACATGTCGAGCACTTGTAACGTCTTTCGGTTCTTCTTGAGAAACGGAATGGCAAAGTCTCTGATGGCTCCCATCTTTAATTTTCGCTCAATATATCTATCGCATGCGTATGCAATTGGTTTTTGGTTCTGGTGGAACGTGTGCCGACGCCACTTGTTCACCGTTGTGCGATCCCAATTCTGCGATTTCACACATACACTTGCCATCTCTGTAAAGCTAAACTCCCTCAACTGTTACATAAAACAAATAAAAATTAGAATTAGTCTTTTGTTTGAAATGTACTTAAAATGCCGATTATCCACGCACTTACCCTAGTTTTCATAGACAGTAATTCCTTGAAGAACAATTCACGGCAAAACACTGGCACGGGTGTGAGGTACAATCGCCTGATTAGTGGGAAAGTGGCGAGTGCTGACTGCGTTGTGAGATGCTCGTCCCATCCATTTGTGTGGACGGGAAACCACAACACTCGCTCCAAATTCCTTATCTTGGGGCATAGACTTATGCTCTCGTATATGTCCTCAGACACATGCGCCAACTTGACGATGTCTTCAACCACTAGGTACTCGAGAATGAGCGCCATCACTTCACACAGAACACTTTCGGGCGAGCGGATCATCGTGGATGCTGTTGTGCTGTTTACGGAAACGGCGGTCGACTCTGACTAACGGCACGTGTTGTGCAAACATCTCATCTCACCTGGAGGGCTCAGGCTGATCCCCCCCCCCCTTTTCACCCCTCTCTCTACTTCAAATTTCATACTTTTTTCCCCTCACCTAGTCCTCTCTTCGTCTCCCCTTTACCCTATTTTTATTGATTTTGCCTTATTTCGGTAAGTGCACCCGGATTGGGGTGTGATTCCCGACCGCAAAGGGGTTCCCATTGTTCGACTCCCCGCGCGCGCGTGGCGCAACCGAGGGGTGCGTGCACGCGTCTCTCAATGGACACACCCCAATTTTTATACTTTTATCCCCAAAACCATAATCGCGTAAGGGTTGGCACTGACCCCTTTGCACACGTGCCTCGCGCCCATCACATATCAATTTCAATCTCCGCACGCGCAATAATATAGACGAAAAAAAAAAGGGACTCGCGATTTTCACATTTTCTCTCATTCCACTCGTTCACTTCCCCTCGGCCTCATAGTGCCCCCCCCCCTTCCCCCACCACTATTTCTTTAAGCCAATGAGACACACCCGCCCCCCTCCCCTCCTTCCCCTCCCTCTCTCCCTCCCATCCACCAAGGGCGCTAACACTTGGTTGGAAGATGGTAAATAAATACCTGTATATTACTGTTGTTGAACGTACGGTCCAACATCGCTTTTACGGTGGGCCACGGTTGGCGATCGAGGCCGCTAGCGAGGGCCGGCCCCGTTAATTTCGTAATTCCCATAGAAACACACAACTGCCTCACTTTCTTTAAAGATCTTTCAAGGTCTTCCAACTTTGGTTTATGATAATGCATTTTCTTGGTGATCAGATTAAAGACAAGTCTATCGCCTTGTCTGCCGACGGCTACGTCTCCAACCCCTTTCTGCTGACGGCGTAAACTCGCGATGTCCTGGTTTTTAACCGTCACGGCAAACCCGGCCCCAAATATCAGCGATTTTGAGACACAATGAATGATCGGCATTCCACGAGGTGATTCAAAAACGTTGCCTTGGAGTTCAATAACGTTCGGTACTCGATCTACGGGTCGCGCCATGGCCACACACACAC